TTTTATAGTAAGCAACCAATTTTTCTTGAATCTCCCCCATGTGTCTATCACCTCCTCCTCCACTTCAATCCTCATTATCAAGTTTCTCCTTCTCCCATTTGCAAAAGCATGGAAGAAAGAGGGGTTCTTATCTCCCTTTTTCAGCCATGAAGCTCTAGATTTCTGCCTCCACCTGACTTCCTCCCTCAACATTAGATCTTCGAGTTCAGATTCCAAGGTGGCCATCTCAACTTGGTTTTCTTTCCTGAACTCTCCCTCCTCTCTCACTCTTTCTAATCTGGCCAGCTTCTTCTATAAGATCTCTTTTTTTTCAGTCCTCTTCCCTTCCAAATACTTCCTTTCTTCTTTCCCTCAACTCTTGCTTGATAGTTTGCAGCTTTTTAATCACTTTTAGGTCTGCCGGTCCTTCCATTTGCACATTTTTCCACTTACTTTCAACCCATTCCACGAAGTTTGGTTGGTGTAGCCAAACATTTCCGAATCTAAAAGGTTTGAAGCCTGAAGCAGCAACAAATTTCCACAGAAGAATTGGCTTATGATTTGACAGTTGGAACATCAATGGTTCTTGCACCACTTCCCCCACATAGTCAGCCCAATCTCCCAAGAATAAGAATCTGGTCCAACCTCCTGTGAATAACTGGAATTTGTCCATTCGACAAGGTGAACTTCCCTCCAATCAGTAATCGATCTATCAATTCATTGTTGTTAATGAATTCTTCAAACCTCCTCATACCTACAGAAATTCTGCTATCCCTCCCCCCCTTCATTTCACTTCTCCTTACTACATTGAAGTCCCCACCCACACAAAAGACACTTGGGTTCCATAAAATTACAGCTCCCCCTGATAGCCCCGAAGCTCTAAGCTCCACCCATTCCCCTCCCTCTTCCCCCCAAATTTCATTTTTCATTTTAACATCAAAGTGTTCCAGCTTTGTTTCTTGAAGTAACACCACCTCTGGTTTAATACTTTTAAGAAAATTTCTCACTATCTCCCTCCTTCCTTCCCTCAAACCCCTTACATTCCAGCTAAGGATCCTCATCTATCTCCCCCCCCCTGTCTTCCTCTGACCCCCCCCCCAATTTCACTCAATCTCGTCCAACTCCTCCTCCTCTCCCCCTTCTTCGTCCCACCCCTTGTTTTTTTCTAGATATTCTTCCTTTTTCTTTTTCTCTTCCCTTTTCTTTTTTTCAAATTTCTCAAAGGCTATTCTCGCGAAACCTTCCCCTCCCCAGAATACTAGACCAAGAGGCTTTCCTATCTTGACTTCCCTCTCTACCAGTTTATTAATATTCACCTTCCCATTCTGTATTATCTTCATAACTTCTTGATCCTCTTGAGACTGTTCTTCTCTTTCTCTTTCTCTGTTCCTGTCCCCCATCTTTAAGGTTTCTCCTTCTTCCCCTTGCTTCTCTCCTTCTGGGCTCTGATTTATTAATGAATGTCTTCTTTTTCTGTTATATACCCTTTCTTGATTTCTACCTCCTCCTTCCCCCTCCCATGACTTTCTTTTTTCTGCTATATTCTCCTTTGCCTCTTTCTCTGTTCTTTTTCTTTCCTCCCCTCCCCCCTGCTTGGATCTTCCGATGCAAGAATACTCGGTGAGCAAGATTGACTCACCTCAGCAATTCTGAATGGGGATACTAGGATATCAGTATCTAGTCATACGGTTGTTTCTTTCTTACTTCCTTCTGTTAACTCTATAGTTTTCTCTATGATGCTTGGATCCTGGTTGTCGGAAAATCTCTACTCCTTTAGAACTATCAACCTCCCCAGGACCCCTTTCTCTTCTGCGCTCTTTTCCTGGAAGTTTTCTCCCTTATTGCTTTCTGCCTCTGACAATGAGCCTAGCTCCCTTTCTGCCAACCTATTTGAGGTTTCTTCGTTTCTCTGGGATGCTGCCCTTTTACTCCTCCTTGAGTCTCTAGTCTTCTCTTCTGCTACAGATTTTTGTACATCTCCTTCTACCACCAAGCTTGTTAATCGCTTGTTATTTACCTCTCCTCCAAAGAATTTGATCTTTTTTCGTTCTCATACTTGGTCACTACCTAAATCCAGCTATCTTTTTCCTCTTCCTTCTAATCTTTGCGGTTGGTTTTCCTGGAACTCGAACGGTCAAAGCTGTTCTTCTTCGAGTGTAAGTACATGTAGTTTACCATCACCGAGACTACGGCAAAGATGTTAAAAGAAAGCCACATGAAGAAATCTCAACCGAGACACCTTTGTAATGGCACAGTGACACTTTATCAAAGTGATGGAAGGCTCATGCACGTGCAATGAGCACAGAAGGCCATCCTACACTTGCGGTGAGCATGAAACGCCTTATGGGACCTTCAATGAGCACAATGTGCTATCTGATACCAGCAATGGGTTCAAAATGGCATCGCAACTCTATGACGAACTCAATACACTACCAACATCCTACGATGAGAATACAACGGCAGCTCATGCCGTGATGAACGATAAACAAAGCCGAAGTCGGCAATATATGTTCACAGGTAACTCGCGCTCTGCACCGTCATGGCAAGCCGCGACGAAATGCCCCAAAGATGTTGTACAGAGATGTTCGAACATGTCAGCCAATCGAAAGTCCTGACATGTGGCTATGAGAGAACCGATGAAGGGGTGTAGATGACACGTGCTATGCAAGAATCCTTAGGGAAAGGAAACTCTACCCCTAGAGACTCATTAGACACGTGGTGAAACCTTAGTGGAGTTCACTTGATAGCTGACATGAGGATAAAGATCCCCTTTCCTAATAGGGAAAGGTCTCTTTTGGGACCTTCCCCTAATAGCCTCAAGATCTCGTTTATAAAAGGAGAGCAACTCTCCCCCATGGGGACAGGAACACATATCCTAATGGTTTAGCCGACACGTTGGCTAAACAAGGGATTGTGAGGGAGAGAATGTTCTGGGCAGTTTTGTAAGAAAGATTATTGGGGGCTCAACACCTGTTCAGGGGTTGACAGTTATACTTAACTCTGGAAAGTTATTCTTAAGTTGTATTAATGAAGTTACCGTTTCCAATCAAAAAAAATACATACCCTAACTCTAGGGGTCTCCCAGAGCATCTCTCTCACTCTGTCTCTCTCTCTCACCCCCTTCTATACTCTTCTCCCACCATCCTCTACAACGAGAATTCCCCATCACACTCTCTCTTTCCTACTATCCTCTCTGGATCTTTGGAGACTTGACCAACCCTCGTCGCCTTACCACCGCACCTACATCGAGTATGTGCTTTTTCCATGTTTACCCTTCACGGTCCCTGTCTTTTCATCTTTCGAAGCTTTTTTGAAATTTACCGCTAACTTATTGAAGCGGTAGACTCTTTTTGGGTCTTCCCTTTTACTGGCTAGCACCTTTTCCTCTCCCCTTCTATTTGCCCCCTCCTCTTTAGATCTATCTCCCCCTATTGACCCAGTCCCATCGACCTCCATGTATCCACTTTCTCGATCTGCCACCACATCCCCCTCTTTACACATGTGTTTTCTTTCTCAAGGGTTCTGCTAGCTCATCCTCTTCTTCCTCTTCCCTTCGTCTCTTCGACTTCTTATTCTCCGACTCCTCCCCAGTTTTCCCATCCACCCTTTCTCCTTCCTCCTCCTTCTGCCCTCCTTCCTCACTGCTCTTCTCGTCCGCATTCACCTTCGCCCCTTTTTCCTTATATGTTCTAAAATATGTGCCATTTGTTCCTTCAGCAAACAGCCTCAAGACATACCATTCGCCTGCGAACAATAGATTCATTTGCTTTGGAACATCCGACATCTGTCCTACTTCAACCAAAATCCTTACCATGTCCATTTTCAATTCCTATCATCCGATCGTATGAGTCTTCCACAGGATGCCACTTTCCTTGAACGTATTGATGCACCATGCATGCAGTGGGATCCCCACTATATCTATCCACGCCGTGCACTTCCATCTACCTTCTACCAGTTCTCCGACCATTAGAGTCCACCAATCCAGCCTTATGTCGAACTCCCTTTCTTTTACTTTCTCTTCCTTTAAAACCTGTTTTGCAAATTTTCTACTATGGAACATTATTAGTAATAGCTCTGCTTGCAGTTTCCTTACTCTCAGGACCTTTTCTTTACCCCATTCTAAGATCGCCCAACTCTCAAACTCCTTCCTCTCGACTTCTCTTCCAACTACTCTACCTATCAAACTTGCTCGGAGAATATTCATTCTCTCCTCCAACTTCCTTGATCTTCTAACACCCACAACTACCTCCATTACTGGTACTATTCCGAGCTCCCAGTAGGGTAGTTTAATCCTTCATTCCCTGATCTTCTCACATCCACCATGGCATATCTCCTCACCCCTAAACTGTAATTGCAGATATTCCCTTTTTCAGTCGCACTTCATCAAGATTTTTGGATGCCAATGGGCCATCCCTTCTAACCTGAAAATTCTTGTTCAAGCTTGACCGGTCAAATGTTACAATAAAAGTACAAACTTATGGAACCTTGGTTTGTTTGGTGTTATTTCTAGGGGATTTTGAAGGGCTATCTTTTTCTCACTCTTGTAATAAATGGGTGAGGGTTTTATTCGGTGTCTTAGCTCTTTCCTCCAGGTTTTCATCCACATTTGAATATTTTCTTTAATTATAAAAAGCATTTATATTAGAAACATAACTCTGCTAGTGTGAGCTTGTCTTACACCGCTGGTCCCAACTCCCAAGTTTAGATAAAGGAAAAGTGTTGTGTCAGGCTTCCAGCTGGCACTAAAACTTTTGCCAAAATCTCATGGTCATGGATAGCCAACCCCATATAGATGGGACAAAGCTTAGATGATGATGATGATGATGATGATGATGATGATGATGATGATGATGATGATTATGCCCTGTTGAATTCTAGAAGCAAAAAATACAGATTGTGTATGCACAACAGTAAAAAATAGAATAGTTTTACAATATCTAATATCAAAAATACTCAAAATGCATTCACAATAAAAATAAGAAAAAAAATGCAATCTAACATGTAGAGAAACATTGTTATACCATTATCATCAGACAAAAGATATCTTCCCTGAACTGTAGTTCGGCAAATGTGTTTCTCTTGGAGACTGACATCCCTCCTACAACATGGTGGATAAAACAAAACATAGTAGGAAAAAGAAACAAAACAAAACTAACACAAACACATGTTGCCAAGGAGAACTAGTTTGAATTTTTTTTATCAAAAAAAACACTTTGAAATTTCATAAAATTTATTAAAAGGTTGAAAAAGAACTCCAAGTTCATGTTCAATTAATCCACCATTGCATTGAGAATTCAGAACCTTAAATTTATCAATCAAATACAAAGAATAGGACTCTCTTAATGAAATAACAAAATCTACCAAGATACTCTTTTTCCTAAATTGGCAACTAGTAGTATATTACTAAAATGCCAATAATAGGTGCAGTCTCCAACTTAGTCCCAGCCCAAAAGGATAACCTAGTGCACATTCTATCCATGAGTGTCAAGGTAGAGAATAATAGATGAAGTGCTACTTTTTAAAGTTTCATATTGTCACCCCAACATTAGTTGTAGTGGTTCTACCTAAGTTTTTATTTGCCACAAAGGTTTTGCAATCCACAAAGCAATTAGAAATCTACGTTAAGAATTACTTACGGTGTGGAGTACCATATCTACTTAAAATATAGAAAAATTAATATAACTAATTGATTTTAACATGTGTATGAAACTCTATAGATCTCTAAATAGTTAGAGGGAGAGAGAGAGATACTCCACCAGTGTGAGCTTGTCTTACACTGCTGGTCCCAAGCCTGGATAAAGGAGGAGGGTTGCGTCAGGCTGGTAACCAGCACTAAAACTTTTTCTAAACCCTCACGAATATAGATCTCGATTTGTCTTTTCATACTCATGCTATGGGCATTCTCCATATATGATACGTTGCACCCTAACCCAAGTGTAGTGTTAAATGGGCAAGGGTTTGCTAGGATTGTACCCATAAGTGAACCACATGGTAACTAGCCAACCCCATATAGTTGGAATCAGGGATGGATGATGATGATGAAAAGACAACTTATGGGGTTGTAAAAAAGCCACTTATGAGAAAGAGAGAGGGGATTTTAATATCATATACCACGTTCGATTATTGTAAAAAAGCCAACTTATCATGTCAGATTAGACCAACATAAGGTTACATTCCCACTAATATTCCCAACACATAATAGGGATATCAATGAATTAGTACAACCATCCAACCCCCTCCAATCTAGTTATTTCAGTTTTCTGGGACTAATATTTAGGGCATGGTGGACCTATATCTACTATTTTATCAATTCTGAATCCATAAGAATCAATGTAAATATGAGAAGATAGACCAATCAGTTATGAATTAATCTTACCTTCTATTGAATTTGATTTAATTTTCAAAATCAAATGAGAACCTGAATACTTGCCAACATTACTTTGAGTTGCATAAAATCCATGGATGTTACTCATATTTCTAGTTGCATTTAATCCATGGAATTTAATTTTGTTTATTGTGCGCAAAAAAGGAAAATAAATTATCAATATTGTTAAGCAAAAACACAAACCAAAGAATGGATCTCTCCATGCTTCTTATCTTTATGTGTCTCAACCTTAAAAAAATTACAAAGGTGAATCTTGATATAAGTTCCATTTGTCAATGGACAGTCCAAAGGATTCATCACCACACATAGAGTTCTAGATATTATATGGTGCTAGTGTCTAATCAATTACATTCTTTTTTCAACAATTCAACGTCTTTGAATCATTTACAAGTGGTCTATTGAGATATGGCCTACCAAAGATACAGCAAACTGATAGTCAGTCCATATTACCGCTGACAAAATGGAGGAAGAACGATACCATAGCCCACCCACAATTATACTGTTCTAATGGGGAAAAATCAATGATCCTCTTTCTTTTCCTTTCTCTCCTTGTATGAATAACGCATTGACTCTGCTTAGATAAATGGAACACTCTCTCAAAAAAAAATCTAGAACAATATATTCGTTATTTGAAAAAGTAAATGAGTAAATTGGCCACTTATTTCTTATACTCTTGTTGCAATATATCACGAGATTCGTATAGAGTATTGGGTTTTCATATATTTATGAAGTTGCTATTGAAATTTGGAGCATCTAAAACCCAATTTAAGGAAAATACTCTGAATTTAAAAAATCAAGCTTTCTGCTACGAAAGATAATATTTCGAGAAGAAATAAAATCGAAAACACGAAACCGAAAAAAATAAGTATGTAATTCTTCTCGAAATTTCATGTGTTTGTTGCACAGTTTTTCATACATTCTAAAATTTAAGCACGTATAGGAGATTCAGAGGTTAAGATAGGGATAAAAGTTTACCTGATTGCAAAGTTTCTGGCGGGAAATTGGAGAAGGAGATTCAAGAGGAACTGATAAAAATTCAAACGATATCTCGCCATCTCTGCTGCGAGGGAGAGGGGAGGAGAATACGGACTCCGCGCGTCAAAAAAAATGAAGGTGGGACTTTTGTACAAAAGGCAAATCGGGCCGGGTTAGGCCGGATTGAAGTTAACCCCTAACCTAACCCAGTTTCGGGTGGGTTTGGATTGACCCAGTTTCTTCACTTCAAGTATAAATCATTTGCATTGAAGTGTAACTTTTGAAAATGCAATAATTACTTTCAGAAGTGCATTGGAATTGGTGAATTTTTCTGGTTGCTGATATTTAAATGTACATAATATAGTTTATTGCTTTGAAATTTGAATGCCAAGTTATGAAAAATGACAACCATTTTAACCGTAAGAAGAAAATGTATGTTTAACTATTTAATAAAGGAAAATTTTCGGATCAGTACCGTGTACTATGGTTCGAGTGACAATTTGGTCCCCAAGCTTTAAAATGCAACAATCTAGTATTCGAACTTTTAAAATGTGACAATCTAGTATTTGTTGTCAACCAGTCTGTTAATCAACCGTTAAGTGACATTTGAAAAGTCAAAACTGCCCTTTGAATGCCATCTAATTCTCTTAATCAACCATCCAAATGTTGACAAAAAACTGAACAGTTCCAAAACCTAGCCTCTTCTATTCAAAAAAATTGGTGACTGTTTAGAAGAATCTAGAATTTGGGATTGTTCATTTTTTTGTCAATGTTTGGATGGTTGATAAAGATAATGAGATGACATTTTTAGGGCAATTTTTACTTTTCAAATGTCAATTAATGGCTGATTAACGGGTTGGTTAACGGCATGTACCGAATTGTCACATTTTGAAAGTTCGGGTACTAAATTATTGCACTTTAAAGTTCGGGGACCAAATTGTCACTCGAGCCAAAGTACAAGGAATTGATTAGAAATTTTCCCTTTAAAAAATTAATTAAGTGGTTATAAAATGATTAGTAACTAGTGAAAATTATTAAAATTTATAAATAGTTAAAATAAATAATAATTTTTTAGAAATTTTAAAAATTAACTAAAACTATTAAAGCAATTAAAAAATTAATAAGCAATATGTATATTATTATAATAAGTAAATAATCAATTTTTTAATTATTATGTGATGATTAACATAACTACAAAATTATTAATTAATTAAATTATAATAACAATAATAATTATCTTAATTCATGAAAATATTGATTTAATTATTTTAATATTTAATTAGTTGATGGTTATAAATAAATAAATTTATTTAATTAATTATTTTTAGTTCATAAAATTACTGATTTGATATTTATGAGTAGTAGGAATTCTCATACAATCCGCAGGCCATGATAACACAAGCAAATCACCATATCTTAATAATTAGTTGAGTAAAACCAATATTGTTATAACTAAAGTTAGGTACCCATCAAGCACATTGGTTTGCTTATTACAAGTATTATGAGAGTTATAAGAGCATGGACATGTATAATGCCATTAGCAAACACAATAGGTAAGTGAAACAAATGCCTAAGGCCTCATTTGTGACTATTTTGCAAAAATGCTTTGTTAACCATATGTATTTTGGTGATAATAAATTCATTGAGAGTAATAATGGTTTGCTAAGTATGCAACTAATTTAAACTCCTATGAACTAAATTGTATTAACAATATTGCTACTACAAAAGAAGATATGGAAGCATTGTTTGTTTCAATTGTCTAGGCTTCATAATCTCTANTAAATTGTATTAACAATATTGCTACTACAAAAGAAGATATGGAAGCATTGTTTGTTTCAATTGTCTAGGCTTCATAATCTCTACCCCAACACCTATCTCTCCAATGAGGATGCTCCAAGGAAACTCAAGCATACAAATTCTCCAAAGGAATCAAAGGCATTGGAGCTGGTCAAAGTGGACTTATGCCACAACTCATTGAGGAGGAAGATTACATCGCATCATGCTCTAAAGTAGTAGTCGACAACTTTGATAAATGTGATTATTTGAAGGCTTGAATAGCTACTAATATGTATGGTAAGCATTCTATCATGTTGGAGATATATTGATTGTTTACTAAGTATAGAAAAATCAACGCTTGGAATCTTTTTGTATATATTTGTTTTTAAGGATCTAAGTGTTGGGTTGTCATTATTTTGTTGACCCAATGTGTTTTGGTGATAACAAACTTATTAAAAGTACTAATGGTGTGACTAAATATGCATTTATCTTATGAAAGTTTCACTAAACATAAACTGGAATAAAGCAATAATGCAAACAAAAATAAAGAAATGAAAGCTTGGCTAAGTCTACTACCTGAGCATAATGATTTCATATCTTCATTAAATCTATCCATCTGAGGAAGCACGATCAATTCAAGCATGAAAAGGCCACTAAATAATTGAAGGAATTGGAGTTGCCCAAATTGATCATCTACTACAATAACACACTAAGGTTACATCAAACTATAAAAACTTGTGTCAATCTTTAGGAACTTGATGTGACCAATTATTTAGATGCACTCTTTTTTGGTGTTCAATAAGACTAAACTTGAGTTAGGCAACCTAAGAGACCAATCGCTAAAATACATTTGGTTCATGGGCTCTTCTAAACTTAAAAAGAGTTCTACAATTTTAAAAAGTCACTTTAAAAGCCAATTGAATTGATCCCAAACATTTGAATTGAAAATTTCAAAGTCTCTAAGTGTTGGATTGTCTAATATTCAAGACTGCACATGCTCTATAATATAGTTGATTACCTAGAGAATTATAGTTGACAAACTATAACAGTCAAAGCATGAATTTTAATATTTCAAGACATAGTTGACTATCCCAAAAGGCATAGTTTGTCGGTACAAGAAAGAGTGAAAGAGCAATGAGAAAGACAAAAGTCCAGATCTGTTAGTGTTGATCAATCTGATTGAATCAACCCAAAAAAGATGTATTTATATTAATCTTATGTAAATGGACAAGATTGTCCTTACAAAGAGGATGAAAAAGATTTGTACACTAAAGTACACGCCTATTATAGTACAAGAAAGAAAAAATAAAGTACAGTACAGTATAATTACAAAACTACCCTTTAGTAGTTATTCTACACTCCCCCTCAAACTGATGTTGGGGTAGAAGCATCAGTTTGTCAACAAATAAATTAATTCGGGCTTTGGTGAAGAGATCTTGCAAACTGTAGACCCGATGAAACATGTGGGAGAGAGATGTGACCCACATGGAGAAGGTCACGAATGAAGTGACAATCCACCTCAATATGTTTAGTCCGCTAATGAAACACAGGATTTGTTACAATCTTGATTGCACTCATGTTGTCCGCAAACAAAGGAATAGCAGATGAGTGATAAATATTCATGTCATGAAGGAGTGCCTTAAGCCAGATTATTTCACTGCATACTGAAGACATGTTTAGCCCGCTCATGAAATACAGGATTGGTTGCAATCTTGATTGCACTCGTGTTGTCCACAAACAAAGGAATAGTAGATGAGTGATCAATATTCATGTCATGAGGGAGTGCCTTAAGCCAGATTATTTCACTACATACGGAAGATATGGCTCTGTACTCGGCTTCAGTAGATGACCTGGAAACCGTTTGTTGTTTCTTGCATTTCCAAGAAATCAAAGAATCACCAAGGAATATACACTAGCTAGTAGTAGAGCGACAAGTGTCAGGACAACCGGCCCAGTCAGCATCTACATAAGCTCGGAGTTGTGTGGATAAAGAGGATGAGAAAAATAAGCCATATGATAGTGTACTCTGTACATAACAAATAATTTGGAGAACTGCAGAGTAGTGAGGCTGACATGGAGCTGAAACAAACTGGCTCACAATCTAAATCGCTCTACTCATGGTTAGGTAGATAAGACTACCTACAAGTTGTCTGTACAGGGTAGCATTAGGAAGAAGATCACCCTCATCTTTACTCAACTTATAATTAAGCTCCAGAGGTATATCAACATGTTTAGAGCCAGTCAAGCGAGCAAGAGACACCAAATTAGAAGCATATTTTTGTTGGTTGACAAAGTAACCCCGGTGACATCTTTGAATTTCGAGTTCAAGAAAGTATGTTACTGGCTTAAGATCTTTCATTTTGAAGGAGTTACTAAGCAGAAGTTTGAAATTGGTAATACCATCCACATCATCTCTAGTAATAAAGATGTCATCAACATGCACCAAAAGAAGAGTCAATCCTTGAGCCCGCTTAAGAGTGAAGAGAGAGTAGTCTGAAGCACTCTACTGAAAACCACCTTCCAACACTACTGTATAGAAGCAATCAAACCAAGCTCGTGGAGCTTGTTTAAGGCCATATAAAGATTTTTTTAGTTTACACACCAACTAAGTATTGTCATGGTAGCTGGGAGGTGGTTTCATATAAACTCTCCTATAACTCTTCATGGAGGAAGGCATTCTTGACATCCATCTGATGAACTGTCCACTGCTTTAGGGCAATAATGGCTAGTACCAATGGATTGTTGTCATTTTGGCCACAGGTTCAAAAGTTTCATCATAGTCAATTCCATACTCTTGCTTGTAACCTTGAGCAACCAGACGGGCCTTATATCTGTCCAAAGTACTGTCATATTTGAGTTTTACGGTGTAAACCCACCGGCTACCAATTATGGAGGCATCTAGAGGAGGAGATACAAGATCCCATGTGTCATTTTCCAATAAAGCCTAAACCTCTGAATCCATAGCTTCTTTCTAATTCTCAACTGCTACGGCGTAGCTATAAGACTTAGGAATATCTATGGATGACAAAACAACTGAGAAATAGCTATGACTCGAAATAGCAATCATGTGGACGAGAAATACGAGATGACCGACGCAAAAGAATAGATGAAGGTAAATCCTCAAGAGGGGAATTTGCACTTACAATAATGGTGGATGGAGAGGAATGACCAGACACTATTGCTTGAGATGGAGGCATAGGCAATGGGCGAACTGGATGCTTCCTAAAGTACGTCTAAAGAGGCTGAAGAGAAGGAGAATCACCTGTAGATCCAAAGTCATGTAGAACAGAAATGGATGGTGCAGGTTGTAACAATTACTATCATCTTTGGAAATCT